CCTTTTGCAAAGGGGAGACACATCTGGAGACACATCTCAGCGACAACAGCTCTGCTGTTGAAAGTCAGTCTGCCTCCCCCCAGTGGTCAGGGTAGAATTTCACCATCAATTAGTCAGTTTGGCACTAAGGCACCCCACCTCCCCAACACACACAAACCCAGTCATATGCCCTGGAATCTCGGGTCAGGATCCTCTTGTATCTCCACCTCTCACTTCGCATTCCAGGCTCTCCTCATGTGGTGTTCCCTAGGATGCATGGTTTCCCTGATCCAGCTTCCTCCTGCCTTTTCTCAGCCACAAGAACCCAGCTCTAGTTTGCCTCCCCCAGGAAGAGCTCCCTAACCCCACCGCACTCCCCGGAGCCTGGCATCCCTGCCCTTTCCTGTGCCCTCCCAGCACTGGGGACACATCCCTTTCTTAACATGTCTGGTTTTTTCTAACCAACTCTTGTCTATTTCCACTAGACAAGCACTTTTTAGAGTATAGGGTTAGAGCTTTCTGTTTTCAGTTTTTTTTTTTCTTGGAAGGCAGAGTTAGAAGGGGGGAGAAAGATCAAACCATAGATCCTTCATTTGCTGATTCACTCCCCAAATGGCTGTAAAAGCCTGGCTAGTCACTAATGAGCAACATTGTGTCCATAAAAGCATAAACTGTGAATTACAGTGTTGGGGTTCAAATTTTGCCACTTTCTTTTAAAATTTATTTAGAGGCTGGTGCAGTGGCATAGCAGACCAGTCCTCTACCTGTTAGCACCTGTGTCCCATATGCGTGACTGGTTCATGTTCTGGCTGCTCCACTTCCCATCCAGCTCTCTGCTTGTGGTCTGGGATAGCAGTCGAGAACAGCTCAAAGCTTTGGGACCCTGCACTCGTGTGGGAGAATCAGAAGTTCCTGGCTCTCAGTTTGGATCAGCTCCGCTCCAGCCATTGCAGCCATTTGGGGTGTGAACCAGTGGAGGGAAGATCTCTCTGTTTCTCCTCCTTGTAAGTCTGCCTTTCAAATAAAAATAAACATATATGAAAATTTATTTACTTTAAAGGCAAAGCAATGGGGGGAGGGAAGAAGGGAGGAATAGATATAGAGAGATCTTTCATCTGCTGATTTACCCCCTTAATGGTTACAAAAGCCTGGGTTGGGCCGGGCCAAAGCCAGGAGTCTGACGCTTCAGTCAGCTCTCCTGCATGGGTGGCAGGATCCCCAAGGACTTGGGCTGTCCTCTTCTGCTCTCTCAGATGCATTCTTAGGGAGCTAGGTCAGAAGTGGAGCAAGGACTTGAGCTGGTACCATATGGGTATCTGGTGTCACAGGTCACAACTTAATACGAGCCCAGGCTGCATATACAATAGGTGCTCACTAAATGCATGGCAGGTGAGTGAGCGTGTGTCGGACAGACACTCCTGGAGGGAGGAGGGATTGTTAGAGGGACTGAAAATCACTGGATTTGATTAGACTAGTCACCATGTGAAGGAAATGAAGCCCAAAGCTTCAGTCACCAGTAGACTGTAGTCACAGACCCCAGCAGTAAATGGTCAAAATGACCATTCCCATGTACTATCAGCTTTGCCTGGGCAGCGGGCAGGGTGCAATGCCAGATGCACGAAGGCCAGGTGATAAAGGCCCCCTGGGTCAGAAGCTAAAGTGGTCATTGTAGTGCAGTTGGATGCTTTTGGCGTGAGTGATACGATTCTGGTATTTTCTAGTCTCTTCCACCTGCATACACCTAAGAATTCAGAGAATCATGAAATCTGCATTTCTCCATACTTAGGGGAACACCTACTTTTTTGGCAAGGAGAGGGCCGGGCCTGTCTGCAGGGTAATAAACGTAACCCTTCCTAACAGATTGGCCTACCTTTGAACTGGGAGTGGAGGCGAGGATGCTGGAGTTGCTGGAAATGATACCATCCCATGGTGTTGGAAATAAAGGCCCTGAAAAAGGAGAGGAGTCCCAGAAAATGGCGGGTGACCTGCCCCAGTGTTATTGTGATGGCATAAACTTAGACTGTCTGAACCTAGCACCCCCAGCAAGGTCATGGTCAGTAACTGCTGGACTCCACACGTCTTACTTGCCCCAGAATGGGGCCTATTTAAGCCTTGTGGCTAGTTAATTATTAATGAAGGTATTTTTGACAAACAAAGTAGATCAAGCCCAGAAATAAGGGTGGCTAAAAATTAGCTCAGGAAAGGTCATATTTCTTGCAAATGCAGGATTTGGTATTGCTCCCAATTGTGGGAAAGGGCTTCTATGGAAATATAATCTGGGGAAAACTTGGGCCTCTCCTCCAACCTCCCTGCCACTTGTATGGTTGAAGGCTCCACCACCACCTTGGCTGATCTGCCTGCATTCCTGACCCAGCCCAGGGTTGAGGGGGTGGGGGCGGATAATGGTGACACCCAACTTGTCCAGGTGGCTGTGTAACACTCCAGAAAGAATGGTAGTGTTAGCAAAAGGTGCCTCTTGAAAGCAGAGACAGACACCAAAGGTTTGAGGAAGGGTTTTGGGATGTTAAGCAGTCCCTGACCCCTCCTTGTTGGGCGGGAGCCTATAGGTAAGATGTTTCCCATTGGTGGTCTCTTAATTAGTTAGATGGGTGGGCAGTGTTGGTGCCGCCCACCTGAAGATGTGGCCAAGATCTCAGCAGGCCTGGATGGTCTCAGAAGGTTCCACTGGTTGGGGCTGTACCTAGTACACAGCCTAGGAGACCTGCCTACTTCTACAAACTGCCCTGGGCAAGTGCAGAGGTGGCAGGCCCACCCTGGGCCGTGACCAGGCCATTGGCTAATCAGAGGCCTCGGATGCACCAGGTGAGGAATAGCCTTCGGCCTCAGTGGCATAAGTACAGGACTCAACCACTTGCTGAAAGCAATTCAAAGGCCGAAGCAGGAATGAGGAATTTGGGGCTTTCCCCCACTTGATCAGTGCCTCTCAACTTCCTTACCCTTTCACGGGTAACACAGGGCCATGAGCCGTGTTGAATGCTGAATTTTATGCTGTTTCTGCTGCTTAGGCACATGGGAGTTGCTTTCTGGGACCTGACTTGACTATTCTCTCTCCTGCAGATGGGGGCGTTTCCTGCCCAAAGCCTGCTCCTCCAGCAGATCTCCATGCGGACACTTCTTCCTCTAAAGCTTTCTCGACTACCATGCTGGAACTGAGGTGGGTCCCTCCTTCCCACAAGACACTGTCGAGCCTGGCAATTTCTGGAAGGCAGAAGGGGTCAACGTGGTGGGCTGCCATCTATCGAGTGGCAGCAACAAATATTGGTTGAATGAGCAGGTGAGTGACTAGAAGGATTTGGAGTGAAGCAGTAGAAAGGAATGCATTTATACGCTGGTTCAAGAAGGGAAGGGAAAGGAAGTAACCCGAAGAGGGCCTGCCGCCTATGAGGCTCTTCTGATTCATCAACTCATTTGGTTTCCACAGTAACCTTATGCATGGATGATCTCCATGTTCACCAGTTCAGCAACCTGTGCTTGGAGATACACAGGTGGCTTTTCCAAGGTCACGTGACCACTAGCAAAGCCTGGGTTTCCTCCTGTATTCTAAGCACAAACCCACTGGACCACAGTACTTGTCCATAGGGCCCTGGATTGGGTAAGCACATCTGTTCCAGGCTTATTAGTATGAGGAGCTGGAGAACAGCAATAGGGGAAAATGAGGGGACAGAAGTTCCGTAGTCCAGGACAGACCTTGCATTGGAGCAAAAGCACTTCCCCCTGTAGGACAGACCCATAGCTAGGGGCCTGAATTCACCAGTCACACATTCACATCAGCCCTTGCTTACAGCTGTCAGGTCTTCCAGGTGGAGGTGTTAGCAGCCATGCTCTCTTTATTTCTGTGCCCCAAGTTACACAGTAAAAGCGAACAGCTGAGACATTATACTTGCAGAAAAGTGTTGCTTTAACAGGGTCCTTGGGCTGGGCTTATATTCTGAGTGCACCGCTCTGCTGACTGCACGTGAGGCCTACCCAAGATGACAGAAGCCAGCGAGTCCGGTGAGTCTTCCAGCCATTAACGCTCAGCCTCCTGTTGACATGCTCATTCTGCCTGTGTTCTCCTCCTGGAACAGCAGCTTCCAAGGGCAAGATTCTGCCCCGAGGAGAGTTGCAACCACACATTTTGTTTGACTAAGGGCCTCTGTGCTTCTCTTTAGAACCAAGAAGGAATGGGTAGAGTTTGCTGCTCTCTTACACCTTGCCTGCTACCATGTCACCTTGGGAAGTTTCCCAGCCAACTGTTCCTCTCCAAAGACTTTAAAAAAAGAGTCCGTTTAAGAGGCAGCAGGAAGTGTGGGTACAGAGACAGAGGCCACACCCAGGCTTCAAGGTTAAGAAGGTAAAGCCTCTTAGTCATCAGCAGAGGCCAGGGGCATGGCAGCTCTGACAGCCCATCACATTCCCTCCACTTACTTGGCTTTGCTGCTAGACCCTGAGTCAGGGCAGCCTCTAGGCTGTGGCCCGTGGAAGGGAGTGGGGCAAGACAGCTGTTTTCAGGAGCAGTGATGGTGTTGGGGTCATGACAGCATGCTCACCCACTAAGCAACTTGCTGTCCGTGAACCGCCTCCACCTGGAGTCCACGGTATGAACTCCTGGGGTCATAAACAAATGGCTGCACCGAGAGGCGACAGACTTTGCCTAGCCTGTCCCAGTCCAGGTGCTTGATGGTTCGACCTTGTAGCGCCTCAGCGGCAGTCTGAGGATAATACATCACAGTTCAATCCATCTTCAGTGCTAATCTCAAACCAAAGGCCTTCACAGTAACTCACCAACCGCTCCACCTTTAACATTTCCTCTAAACTGGAGGGAGAAAAAAATACCAATGTAAAGAGAACACAGCTAAATATCAGGCCACAAGTTACTTTAGAGAAAGCTTTATTTATAACATACATCCCAAAAATGTACTGTAAATAGAACAAGATCTAAAAAGCTTTTCCAATACAAAGCAGCTAAAGACAACTAAACTACTAGAATGTTGGAAAATAGAAGGCTGAAACTTTTTTTCTAACATTTATATAGTTTGTTCTTAACCCTAAAAAAAAAAACAAAGCTTCACATTTCAAGTTATAAATTTACCTCAGTAGTGTACACATGAAATGGTTGTGAAACAGGGACAGACTGAAGGCTCAATGGTACTTAACTGGCTATGTCACCGTTTGTTTGAAGGTAGTTTGGGAATGGCCATGTTAAGATACCATGCTTTGGCCTTTTTCTTTCTTTTTTGCAAATAATTTCCAGGCACATGTAAAATACAGTAAGAGCACCGGGGCAGGGCTCGCTCTGACCCTCGGCGGCAGTCCTTCCCTGGAGGGGCCCGCCACACCGCCTGCTGTCGGTGCCTCCAGCCCAGATTCAAGTTTGGATGCGGCTTGCCGGGCCCGTCAACAACATGCACATTCACTTCATGTCATTTAAGGACCATGGAAAGGAATGTTTAAAGGCCATATGAGACACTCAACAGTTTCATAGAATAGTTAAATAAATATTCCTTATATATAAAAACTCATCTCAACCCAAGATGAGGGGAAGAAGAGAGAAGGCATTTAGGAATCTCTTAATAAAAAACCAAAAACTAAATATTTGCTATGGGCACGATCATATTAATCCACAAGTGAGAATTCAGCCATCAACAACAAAAAAATCCAGTGATAGGAAAGATTTTTATAATCTCCAACATGATATAAAAACCCAACTGTTCACTCTTGCTACCTTATTGCACCTCACATCCTTGATGGGTCCCTTTGTGGGGGAGGGGAATCCAAGTTGATGTATTTTATATAGCTGATGGCCATCTCAACATTTTACTGTATTTTACATTCACTCTGCTCGACAGAAACCTCTAGGTAGACACAGAATATGGAGATACATTTACTTCCTAATAAAACAGATCTTTTTTTTAAAACTAGCATTCAAAGCAAAGTTTTGTTTTTGCATCAAACTATGACCCAGGAACGCCTGCAACATAAGGGACTAAAACCCAGCATTAGAAGAGAGAATGATAAACCTCCTTTTCACTCTTCCAGGACTCCCCTCGGCCCAGCTGAGCAGTCATGGAGGAGAGCCCTGCGCAGGAAGTCACCTTCCCGACACCCTTGAGGACGATGCACACGTCTGCACGGGACATGATCATGTAACTACCAAGACATAAAACTTTCCTGCCGTCAGGTCCGTGGGTGGTGGTGGGAAGGAGGGTGTCTCGTCTACAATAACATACATTCCTTGTCTCTAAAAACTCATACTTCAAAAAGGAATAAGAAGCATTAGAAAGGGACTGAAAATGTTATACTTGACAATAGCTATGCAAAGATACCTTATGGAAACGTATTAAAACCTTGTGCTCGCCTGTACTCTGCTACTGAAAACACACAGGAAGCGAATACCTGTCCAACTCACCCCCAAAACCAAAACAACAAAAACCCCAAGAAAACAAAAGAATCCAAGAAGTAGGATAAAGGCCTCAGGTGGTTTTCTCTTAAGTTATCAGATATAGAGGGGAATGTGGGGAGGAGAGAAGGTCGGGGATCACACGTAAGAGTCGAGGCACATGGGGATAAAGGCGCCCCAAGGTCATGGTGGCAGCCGAGAGCTCTCCCACATGGCATTCCGGATGACAAGTCTTTGGAAAGTTGGCTTAAGGAGAGACTGAGTAGGACTGTCATGGATGACACGGGGGACACCATCGACCCTTAATGCCAGCAGACAGAGGTTTGACTTGTCTGAACATTGCACTTTCCAGTATAACTTTTACAATAATGTTCTCTGCAGGATCTGAAAGCACTGCCGTTCGCATCATTAAATAGTGAATTATATTTTTCAAGATAGTTTCCTAGCTGCTCAGGTGTGCTTTTTTTTCTTTAATATATACAGTTGATATATTATGGAAGTTACTACAAAACACATCTCTGGAGTGCAGAAGTTAAGAAAATAACCTTCATACTGAAAATATATCCTTAAAAAAAAAACAACACAGAAAAACCTCTATACAAATGTATGGCATACAAATATTTTCCAAGATGTTGTTATTAAGGCACGAACCATTGTACGAGTCTCTTAGAAATGTATGAACACGGGCCTGCTGACTTGGACAGTCTTAGAAAACTTCATGTATATCAAATATTTCTGGATAACATTCTTCACTTCCAGGTTTCACACACGTGGTACTCCAACACGGGCTTTCTTCATAAATAGTACCAGTGGGTCTCTGGCGGTGGCGGCTGTGCGGGCTGGTCTGCTCCTGGCGGCAGTCTCAGTACGTCTGGTAGATGTCATGAATGGGGACCTGGATAGCAGCAGCGGGGAAGGCCTGAGGTATGTAGCCCGCATAGCCTCCGTACACGGCGGCCGCGTTCTTCTGTAGTGTGGCGATCGTGGCCGTAGCCGGAGCAGCAAAAGGAACATAATTGGCCCCGTAGATCCCAGCAGTGGGGATTCTCTGGACGTTTGGAGCCACTGTGTAGACTGGAGTTATCGGGCGGCCCTGGAGAGGAGAGACAAGAATCTCAGCTTGTCTTTTTCTTAAGATTTTATTGGAGGGCCCGGCGCAATAGCGTAATGGTTAAGTTCTCGCCTTGAACGCGCCGGGATCTCATATGGGCACCAGTTCTAATCCTGGCGCTTCCCATCCGGCTCCCTGCTTGTTTGCGGCCTAGGAAAAGCAGTGCAGGATGGCCCAAAGCCTTGGGACCCTGCACCCACGTGGGAGACCCGGAAAGAAGTTCCTGGCTCCTAGCTTCTGATTGGCGCAGCACTGGCCATTGCGGCCACTTGGGGAGTGAATCACTGGACAGAAGATCTTCCTCTCTGTCTCTCCTCCTCTCGTGTACATCTGCCTTTCCAATAAAATTTTGTTTTAATAAAGATTTTATTGGAAAGGCAGAAGGAAAAACAAAGATCTCACATCTGCTGGTTCAGTCCCCAAATGGCGGCAACACCCAGAGCTGCTTCCAAGAAGGCTGGTTTGCAGTGACAAGGAATCTTCCTTCCAAATGAGCACGCGCAGGTTTAAGGCCAAGTGCACAAGGCAGAAGTCGCAGGGAAGGACCCTGAGAGAGAGACTGCTGTGAGTCCTGTTATAGGTCAGCCAAACACCTGAGCTCATGCAGCTGCCTCGGACACCGAGTCACATACAAACATGAACTGGCTCACGACTCCAAGCGGCTGACTGTGCATCAGGTGTACCCAAAAGCTGACTTAACCTGGACACATGACCTTCATGGTCATAAATACTGCGTTAAGCTAACCACCTTCATCACTGTGTTCTCACCTCAGTACCAGGAACAAGCACCCATGGGTGGTGGGGTTGAGTCAACAAACAAATCCACCCTTAGCTGGATGCAGGCAACCTGTGATACTCGATGGGGTCTCCCTTTTCCCTTTCGCGTAAGTCTATTTAAGGATTAAGGGTGTCTGTTTTAAATCGTCTGTCCTAGGCGGTGACTCAGCTCTGTGACAGGATCCACTGGCCAGCCACCACCTACTTGGAAACCCCCATTTTCTAACAATTATTTTTTTAAAAGATTTACCTTTTTTAATTGGAAAGGAAGATATACAGAGAGCAGAGAGGAAGATCTTCTAATGATTCACTCCCCAAGCAGCCACAACGGCTAGAGCTAAGCCAATCTGAAGCCAGGATCCAAGAGCTCTTCTGGATCTCCCACATGGGTGCAGGGTCCCAAGGCTTTGGGCTGTCCTCGACTGCTTTCCCAGGCCACAAGCAGGGAGCTGGATGGGAAGCCGAGCTGCCGGAATTAGAACCAGTGCCCATATGGGATCCTGGTGCGTTCAAGGCAAGGATTTAATTACTACGCTATCGCGCCAGGCCCACATCATTATTTCTATTTCTGCTTTTCCTCAGGTTGACACAAGGAAGGATGGCACGGAAGTAGTAGGTGGAATGCTTTGGGCTTTAACCTACCGGGAGACAGGCAATAAGAAGACATCCAAATTGCCCCTGCCCAGTTTCTTCACTGCGGCCAGATACCCAGCTCATGGCGACGCATGAGCAACTCGAGATAGGAGCCTGTGCACTTTGTGTTTGGTGGGATGACATCCTACCATGGTCCCTGCTTCCATAAGACAGTTCAAAGGGAGCTCTGTCTGAGCGTGGACTGATTTAAGGGGAGAGGAGCTAAAAAAAAACCCCAAGCCTGGCACTGCCTGAACCATTTTTCAATCATTCCCATCCATCTACAAATTCTATCTTAATTATTCCAGGAACAGAAACCTGGAGGACTCGGAGATACAAAACACACCAAGGTTGAACGATGTACTGGTTGTGTTGTTCAAAGATAGTTTCCCTCCCAGGTCTTACGGTAGCACTGTTAGGTCTGAAACAAAACTGTGCTGCTAGCTGGCTGCTTTTAGAAACCTGTGCTCTAGGGAGCTGGTTGCTGGTGGGTGCCCGGGCCCGGAGCGTTCTTGTGCTGAGTGCGCAGCAGTGATGGACTGACCCTGTCGGAGCAGCAACCCAGCAGCACTGGCAGGCTTGGCCTGCCTGCACCTGCTGCTCAACTTGTGGGAGGGACTAAAGTTGTTCTTCCAATCTAGCCTCAAATTCTATTTGCCAACCTGCAACAAAGGTCATTAGGCCCCTGGCCTCTTATCCTTCCCAGTGAGGTCCCTGTTACAAACAGCAGGCTTAGAGCAGGGGGCTGATCTTGCCACCCTAATTCTGGGCTATCACAGGCTATTCGTCTCTGGGCCTTAATTTTCTTATCTGGAAAGTTTGTAAAGAGTCGCATATAGCACAAGTGTGTTAATACAACTTCATTAACCAGAAAGAGTAAATACACTCCCAACAGTGGCAGCTGGAGACCCATCTGGCAGGTTGAAAATCTAGTACAGGTAAGGAAATGGAAAGTGAGTTCAAGGCCCTGTGACTTTCACCTCCTCCTGCTCTCCGAGGTTTATGAGCACTGAGTAATGCTTCCAGTCAGTCACCATTCTCCCCCTATTTGCTTTGTGAATTTCGTTTTGCATTTCTACTTCTCCTTTTTAATGTCACTAAAGGTTCATCTGATACCAGAACAGGTCATGATGTCTTTGCCACAATAGTCCCAAGCAGGACCAGCAGCCAAGAGCAACTTTAGGGAGCCGTGAACCAGGAAACCCAGGTGGAAATCAGGTATGTGACCTTGACAAGTACCACATGGAGTGGAGGAGGGGGAGGAGAGACTAACCCAGCCAGAAGGTTCCTCCACCTTGGCCTAGGGCAGATTGTGAAAATGGAGAACATGGGGGGGGGGGGGGGGGGGGGCACTAAATGGGAACACAGCTGGGCACATGCAAGGCAGGGGAGGCTGACCACCAGTGTCCATAGGGAGGCCAAGGAGGAACACTGGCTTCCAGTCCTGCTCCCACTCAGTTTTTTTTTTGCAATTGCTCCCTCTTCCTATGCTGTAACTTGACAGAGAATCCAAAGCAAGGGGAAGACTTAGCAAACAACCCAAGTGAAAGAACTTTGCTGAGCACCGCAAATACTTAGACCAAGAGCAACCAAGCCCCTCTAACCCCTAAAAAAAGAAGCCATTCCGAAGGACACCAAGTAGATCCAGGCCTGTGGCAGAAAGTACTGGAGGGAGGAAAAAAAATCCCCACAGGAGTCAGCTAATAATTCCACTTTGGCTTAAGCTGACAGCAACCTCTAACAGTCTGCGCCAAGGGCATAGAAGTTGAAGCTGAACAGAACGAAGACAACTCACCATAGTCAGGTAAGTGTCCACAAGTTCCTCAGCGAGGAACAGGAAATTTGCCCTGATGGAGCTGCTATCCTGTGCAGCAGGGGAACTAGGGTTCATGTCTAGTTTTACTGAAAGAGCTGCAAGAAATGTCACATGTTGGAGGGGATGGGTCTGCCACTTACCTTGGTCCTACAGGACATTCCATAAATATGTGCAATTACTCATCAAGAAAGATGTACACTAAAAACATTTACCTATAATAACTTAGCAGAGTGGGTAAATAAATAGTCAACCCCATTATTTTTTCTTTAGGAAATCTATGTTAAACGATACTTGAGGAGGCCCAGCGTGATGTCCTAGCAGCTAAAGTCCTTGCCTTGCACACGCTGCCAAGATCCCATATGGGCGCTGGTTCATATCCCAGCAGCTCTGCTTCCCACCCAGCTACCTGTTTGCGGCCTGGGAAAGCAGTGCAGGATGGTCCAAAGCCTTGGGAGACTCAGAAGAAGCTCCTGGTTCCTGTTTTCTGATCGGTGCAGTACAGGCCATTGCGTCCACTGGGGGAGTGAACCAGTGGACAGAAGATCTTCCTCTCTGCTCTCTGTATATCTGGCTTTCCAATACAAATTTTAAAAAAGATACTCAAGGCGTGGATGTTTGGCTAAGTTGCAGTTTTGGCACACCTATGTCCCATATCTGAGCTACTCCACGTCTGATCCAGTGTCCCGTGCACCCCACCAGGCAGTAATGAGGGCTTGACACCACTGACGTGTAGGACCTGGATCAAGTTCTAGGCTCTTGACTTTGGTCTTGTCTAGGCCTGACTGTTGGGAGCATTTGAGGAGTAAAGCAACAGGCAGACTTCCTCTCTCCAACAGCATGAACTCTGAAATACTTGGTGACACAGACTCAACTGGTTTTACTCTTTGAACAGGACAGTTAAGGCTCTCAAAATCACTGGAGAACTTGTAAAATATTCCTAAGGCCAGCTCAGTTTGACCCAATTGGAATTTCAAAGGGCACAGTCTGTTTTCCAAAAATGTGTCCTGTGTAATATTCTTCATCAGTTAGATGGGCCCACGTATTGGTAATGGCTGGTAAGGGGCAATGGTCACCTGCTCTAGAAGAGCTTTAACAGATGTAGTCCCCACGCGCTATGCACTGAAGGAGAAACCTAAGCCGTGGCCTCCAGGGCTGGGGAGCTACACAGGGCAGCCATCGGCGAGTACTGCTCTGCTCTGGGGTGGGTGGATGGGGAGGATTCTCAGAGATGGGACAGGAGGAACCACAAACAAAAATGTTCTGAGCAACAGTGGGGAAGGAGGCCAAGGGATGATGAGGGACAGATTCTACGAAATTTCATCTTTACAGACCAACGAAGTGTACCTCGATGTGAATCATCACTGCGCTGCACTGTGGAAGTGAATGATCCCAGAGCATTCTGTACGTCAGCTCCTTGCCAACATGAGACATTACAATGACAATGTCTACATAATACCATGACACTGTAGGAACTGTAGGAAAAACCTACACGTTTAAAATGGTAATATGGGGTTGGTACTATTCCTTTTTTTTTTAAAAAGTTGAAATTTTTTGAAAGGCAAATCCTCTACAGGATGGTTCACTCCCCAGTCGATCACAATCGTCAGGACCTCCATTCTGGTCTCCCACCGGGTGGCACTTGGGTCATCTTTTGCTACTTTCCCAGACACGTCAGCAGGCAGCTGCATCAGCACTGCAGCAGCCAGAACTCCAGCCGACCCTCTGGTTTGGAATGCCAGTCTCACGGGCAGACATGGCTTAACCCGGTGTGCCACAACACCGGCCTTCGGGCAGTATCATTCTTACTTTAATTGTTCTGATTCACAATAAAAAGCATCTGTGTCACCCAATCTAATAGATCTAACAGAGTTAAATGCTCAGTAAACCCTGGGTACTGAGTCCTGATCCACACACCCACACACACACACACAGAGCGATCGCTACCTGCAGCAGGCTCTCTACCTGGAAAGGCGGTGGCGTGGACACGGCAGGAATGACGGCGGCTGCGGCCGCGGCGGCTGCAGCAGCAGCGCTGGCTGGGTCAGGCTGCACGGCGATGGGGCTGAGCATGTGCTCCATGGTGTGGATTTTGCCGTCTTCAATCATCTTAGGCGCTGGAGCGGCCTGAAACATGGAATACTGGGCCCCGATGGCAGGGATGGCCACTGCAAGAGAAGCAGGAGGGGAAACGGATCAATTCCCAAGGAGGGCCCAGCACTTGCCCTGGTTTACCTTTGGAACATGACAAGGAGCTGCAATAAATAAATATTGACATGCTCCAAGGACTACAAGTTATTCAATGATACGTGTACCATTCAATAACATGCATTTAAAATCTTAACCAGGGGTAGGCATTATGCAACAATGGGTTAAGCCAGTGTTTGTGATACCAACATCCCAGATCAGAGAAACAGTTATTCCACTGACCCAGCTGGCTGATGTGCCATGCCGCCCACAGCTCTTGGCTTCGGCATGGCCCAGCATCGGCTAGTCCAGGCCTTTGAGAGTTCATCCCTGTCACTTGGCCATTCCAGTAAATAATCTTGGAGTGGGAGGAGGAGGGGTGCGGCTGCCCATGGACTGAAGTTTCCCTGTAGGGATACTTATCTGGTGTGGTACTATATTAGCGAACTTGCACTGAGCTCTCAAGATGGGATCGAAGCTTAGGGTTGGAAGCTCTGCTTGACGTTAGGAGACCAAGGACCTAGCGTGTGGGGCCTGGGATGACAGCAAAACGCAAGATCCCTGGCCTGAATGGACTGAGTGTCCCCAACCCCAACCCACTGAGCCCACGCAAGCAGGCATTTCTACTTGAAAGGGGAATTTTTCTTTCCTTCCTGATTGTCAAAACTGGCCCTAGCCCCCTTGGCTTCTGATGGTTGGGGCAGAAATTGACTTCTGTAAGGAAAAGAAAGGTTTTAGCTCATAGAAGATAAAGACAAGCTCACATCCTCTCCTCCTCTCCTGTTCCCACCCCTAACTCTGCCTACTTGGTCACAGATGGAAGAAAAACCCTGACAGCCGGTGACAGCCTCTGCAACACTTTCCTACACGGTCAAAGACACCACAGGGATTTTGGCAGAAAGATGCACCTCACCAGGCGTACTGACCTGCACCAGGCTTAATGGCAACTGGGTTGACTGAAGAGATTTCCAAATTCGGCACGAGTTCATATGTTTTCTCTTGCAGTTTTCCTTTCCCTTCGTGATAGCGGCTATAGATACCGCGGCCAGCGGAATATCCCCCGAGGTAGGATCCCCTGGGCCCCGGGGCTCTGTTGCCAGCTGCACCTCGCCCTCGGCCTCTTACGCTGCCTGCTTATAATAACAACACAAGACACGGTGAGCAGCCCGCAGGATACAGACATCCGCAGGGTTCCGGGGTGGAGCTGTGCACCAGGGCTGCCAGCTGCAGGTGCCTGTACCTTCGCTCTCTCCTGGGCTGAGTCAAGACACTCCTTCTGAGCGGGCTCCCCGAGGAAGCCTCAGTTACTGCCTTACAAGGTGAGCTCCCAGCCACCTTCAGAGAAAGAGGAAGCCACTATGAACGTGCATAACTTGAGAAAACAGGCCTGGGACCGCAGGGTCATTGCCTTGGCTTCAGGTCCAACTAGTGGACGGCAGGATGCAGGCCTTTTTCAGTGTGTTGCTGCACTTCAATACATCTTAATAAATGATCTAGAAAAAAAGAAAACTGGCCCCCACCCACATTTTCAATTCATAAACAACATTTTCAGCTGCATACCAGGAGACCTGCGACCTGCCCTGGTTAGGGTGGTCCCTGGTAAGGCAGCACATTATCTTCCCCCCAAACTCCCAAGTGAGTGTATGGCTTGGCCTTGACCCTGAGGGACCTGCTGCTTTGCAAGCTATAAAAGGGAATGCAAAATGGGCACATAATAGAGCCAAGAACCCAAACCCAAGCACTCTAGGCCACCAGGTCACACCCATACAAGAGATCCCCAACTAACCTTTCACGAAGTAGTCTCTGTTGGGCCCGATGAGGGCATTGTAGGGATATCCGTAGTAGGCCAGTGTGTAGGGGTCGCATGAGTACACATAACTGGGGGGTGGTGCAGCCACTTCGGACACACCACCGCCCTTGGCCGCCTTCTGGTAGCGTGAGTACTGCTCCTTGTCCACGGGCTTGGCCAGCGTGACCTCCAGGCACGAGCCCTCCAGCTCGGTGCCATTGAGGTTGTTCATGGCGCGCACGGCATCCTCGCGGCTAGTGAAGTGCACGAAGGCGTAGTCGCGGATCTTCTTGACGCGCTCCACGCAGCCTGGGTTGAACTGGCCGAAGCTCTTCTTAATGGTGTCCTCGGTGGTTTCGATCATGAGGTTGCGCACGTAGAGGATCTTCACGGTCTCCATCACGTCCTCGTCCACGTCGATCTCCGGCTCGGCCCAGTCCACGGCGATCTGGTGGCCCCACAGCTGGATGCGGCCCGGCATGAGTTTGCGGCGCGCCATGGCGGCTGCGCGGTGGCTCTCGTACTCCACGAAGGCGAAGCCGCGGTTCTTCATCTTGTCGGCCGCACTGGCGTAGACGATGACGTCCAGCACGCCCTCGGTGACTTTGGCGATCTCCTCCAGGATCTCCTCCCGCTTCTTCATCTTCGGGATGCCCCCGATGAAGAGGCGGCAGTTGTCCACGCTGCAGCACACGCCGAGCAGGCGACCTGGACGGATCTCGTAATTGTTGAGCTCACGCACCGCGCGCTTGGCCTCGTTCTTGTTGCAGTACATGACAAAGGCATAGCCGCGGTTCTTGCCGTCGAAGTCCATCATGAGGCGCAACTCGTAGATGCGACCCACTGCCTCGAACACGGGCACCAGCTCATCCTCGTAGACGTCACGCGGGATCTTACCCACGAAGACCTCGCAGCCACGCTGGGGGTGCGGCCCGTCCCAGCCTGGCGGCGGCCCGCCGTACTTCCGCTGCCCGTTCTCCTGCGCCATGCTGTAGCCGGTGCGCTCCAGTAGCGCCAGCAGCGCCGCCTCATTGGGGGCACCCGCCACGCCCTCGGGCACTTTGGCTGAGGACCCCGCTGCGGCAGCGGCTGTGGCTGGGTCGCTGTTCATGGCTGCAGTGGAATCCTCTGCGGTCATAATGGCAAAGGCATCCACAGCTGGTGGGAACCTGCGGCAGCAGAAAGAGAACACGAGTGAGTGGGGGCCGGAACCAGGCTTCTTGGCACACCTAATGTTAGGACCTGGCAAGGCTGGAGGAGAATCGGATGGAGGCTGTCCTGTAGGTGCAGCAGGCCAGAAATGGTCTGAAAGAGTCAACTTGTTTTGCAGGGAAAACCAGAGGTGACTGCAGTGGGAGAGCGAGGGCATGGACTGCGCAAGCACCTCATCAGTACCCAGGAGCTTTGAGGCCGAGAGAACCTGCTGCCATTGCTGGGGCCGGTCTCACACCCCTGAAGCCAGTGGCTTTGTCTTTTGTCTAATTCTTGCACTGCCTACCCGCACTGATTCTCCTGAGAGCATATTTCAACCATTTCACAACCATCTCTCTTTTTTTTCCCCGAAGGCCATCTCTTCATTACGGGAATGGAAATTGAGTGATCCATTTACAATGAAGACTTTTAGGTGAACTGGTAAAGAACACTCCGAGGAAGGGGTCAATTCAGAGTTGTGTACTGGGGCGCAGCAGAATGTCTGCACTGGAGGGCTGCAAGGCAGAGTACAAGCTGGTAACGGGGTTCACTATCACCACAGTCAGGCGCAACTGTCTGCAGGAATCCCTCGTGGATCTGGACCCAGTCTACACAGCGAGGTGCGAGAGTTAGGAAGCAGCATCTACCTGGCAAGCCACACTGTAGCTTCCAGAACACTGTCACCTGCATCCTCTTGCTTCTCAACTCCTGTGCCAGGGAGGTGGTGCAAGTGCCACCTGCCAGTGGGGCAACAGGTGCAGAGAGGTGAGACCGGCACATTGGGTGTGAAGACTCGAGGCCAAGCCCCCAGCTCCAAATGCCACGCTCCTTCTCCATCACGAGTGCCAAGCAAAAGCATTGTCTATGATGATGTGATTCTGGGCACCCGCACTAGGCCAGTGTAAGCAACTAAATGCTTCATTTCTACAAACTTAATGTCTGAAGCCAAAGAGGAGAGGATAGGCCTGATCTGTGCCCCTCTCACTCATGTAACACAGGGTTCTGGAGAAATGAACATATAGTGTACAGTAAGTTTATACCCGTATGTGGGGCCCAGCATAATGGCTCAATGGTTAAATCTTTGCCAAGCATGTGCCAGGATCCCATATGGGCGTTGGTTCATGTCCCGACTGCTTCACTTCTCATCCAGCTCCCTACTTGTGATGTGGGAAAGCAGTCGAGGACAGCCCAAAGCCTTGGGACCCTGCACCCATGTGGGAGACCAAGAAGCTCCTGGCTGCCAATCAGCTCAGCTCTGGCTGTTGTGTCCACTTGGGGAGGGGGGGAGGAACCAGTAGATGGAAGATCTTTCTGTATCTTTTTCTCTCTGTAAATCTTTCCAATAAAAATAATTTAAAAACAAGCAAACAAAAAAACAAGTATGGGTACTGGCCTTGTGGCACAGTGGCTTATGCTGCTGTCTGCAGTGCTCACATCCCTGAATGGGCTCCAGTTCGAGTCTAGGCTGTTCTGCCTGCAATCCAGTTTCCCACTATCGACCTGGGAAGGCCAAGTAACTGGGCCCTTGCCACCCACATAGGAGTCCTCATGGAGTTCCTGGCTCCTACCTGCCTCAGACCTGGCTGTTGCAGCCACCTGAGGGAGTGAATTATTGGATGGGATATCTGTCTCTAGCCAAACTCAACCTTTTAAATGAATAAAAACACCTTAACAGCAACAACAAGAACAAGCACTGTGTGCTGTGCTCTCGTCACGAAAGGCACCGACTGGCCTAACTTGTCTGGCCTCCACACTAGTACCTCTGGTGGGACTTTAAAAAAAAATACAGCCTATTCCATTTTATAGACTATAAAAGTACTTGACAGGTTTTGAAAGAAAAAGATATGAAATCATTCCTTTTTCTCCTTCCCACACAGAGCCATGTTTAAACCCCCCACCCCCCCGATGGTTTTGTGCAGGGGTGGGGAGAGGGTGTGATGAGGCCTCTGTGTTCCTATCAACAGCTGCTTGAGCTTCCACCACAGAATCGCACCAGGAGCCCCCAGGCCTTTTCTAAAAACACTGTACCAGGAATTACACTCAACACTGTGCGGGGACATATCAAAGACAGTTAAGGTGCATGACAGGCCCACATGACAGAAAGCAAGGCTGGCAGTTTAACTTGCACACTGACCCCAAACAGCCCTGCTCTGGGTCCCTGGCTCCGGTATCTCAAAGCCATACAGGGAAAACAGGCTCCATGCATACCAGCTCCAACACCTCCTAGCTGGCTGGGTTGAAAGAAGACACTTAGGTGTCCTGTGTCTCAGCTTCTCTACCTGTGAAATGGGAACACTACCGATAAATATCAACCTAAGTTAAAAAGAGTATGTGATTCAACACAAGCACCTGCAAAGCACGTTGTGCCTAAAACATTACCAACGCTTAAGGGATGTCAGTAACTAACCATCCAGACTCCGGGGTAAAACCTCAAACCAACTCTTCAAAATTTTGAGTACTTTCTTCAGACATTTTCTTGGTTCTTTACACATTTGTTGGATGTGCCTTCCATTTTATTTTTGTTTTCTTTGTTTTTTGAGTGCTTGAAAGCTCATCTGACAACACCCAGGCATCTTGACTTGGCTTTTTCTGGTATACATTTGAAAAGTTTCCCTATAATGTAAAATTTCACTTATATGAAAATGAAGATGTTTCTCTCCTTCCAAAAGAAAGATAAGACTGTAGACTGTAAGGAGTCCATTTGTAAAAACACATGTGAATTTGTGATCCGTGACCTGGGAAGGATTCCAGTCCATGTATAACAATGTATGGTATGTGGGGTCTGGTCCAGTGGTCCAGTGGCTAAATCCTTGCCTTGCACACAGCAAGAACCCATATAGACACTGGTTCATGTCCCAGCTGCTCCACTTCCCACCCAGCTCCCTGCTTGTGGCCTGGGAAAGCAGTGGAGGACGGCCCAAACCCTTGGGACCCTGCACCCATGTGGGAGACCAGGAAGCAGCTCCTGGATCCTGGCTTCAGATTGGTTCAGCCCCAGCCATTGTTCCCACTTGGGGAGTGAACCAGTGGAAGGAAGATCTTTCTGTTTTTCTTTCTTTCTGTATATTTGTCTTTCCAATAAAAATAAATAAATATTACAGACTATAAAATTCTTGTGATCTGTCCCTGTTTCCGGAGGTGGGAGGCTCAGCGACAGCCCGAGCCTGCCAAATGTGTCACTGCTGGGCAAGCACTCCATTCGGACTTATCTTGAAGTTTCTACCAGAGTTTAGAGATGCTCTTCTCGAGCTGCCTTCCCTTGCCTCCTAAGCTCATCTGCCCCTGGCCAAAGGTACTAGACCTGGAAGGAGCAACATCTGGCGAAGGTGGCCGCCTCAGTTCCTGGCTCATCCATGTCAACTGCAACTCTGAGGGCTCTAGGAGAGACACAGAACTGTTTTCATTTCTCCACTCACTTGGCAAATATTGACTGAACACCCACCACCTGCCAGGTTGTCTTTGTGGAGCGCCCCTGGGAGTCAGTTAACTGAGCCATGCTCCCAACACCAGCTGGCTGAGAACTGAGGCAGTGCTGCCCTCCTGCTCACTGATCAGAGAGGGCTTCAAGGCGGAGCTCAACAGTGCTGACTCACTTCCACTAAGGCTGTGATGCCCCATGAAAGGCCAGACACTACCAACACTCTGCTCTTAAAGATGAACTTAAAACACTCCCTTTAGAAGGGTTCCCTGTGGTCCTTGCGTGGTAGCCTAGTGGCTAAGTCCTTGCCCTGAAGGTGCCTGGATCTTGTATGGGCACTGGTTCATATCCTGGTTGCTCCTCTTCCCATTCAGCTCCCTGCTTATGGCCTGGGAAATCAGTCAAGGATGGCCCAAAGCCTTGGGACCCTGCATTCGTGTGGGAGACCCAGAAGAAGCTCCTAGTTCCTGGCTTTGGATCAGCTCAGCTCCAGCCGGTGTGCCCACTTGGAGAGTGAACCAGCGGACAGAAGATGTTTCTGTCTCTCCTTCTCTCTGTATATTTGACATTGCAATAATAAATATCTTAAAAAAAAAAAAAAGAAGGGTTCCAAGTACATACATGTGTGGCAGGGTGGGGGACACACCCAAGGAGCAGTGACAAATACTACAGTTGGAAGATAACATTCTCATTGGGGCAGATATATGGACACCAGGAGCCGGAACTGCGCTTCAAGACTTGCACTCGGCAATGGGCGGCTGGCACAGTGGTTAAGCTGCTGCTCGGAATGCCTTGATCCATAATGGAGTGTCTAGTTCAAGTCTTAGATCCTCTGACTCTAAGCTAGCTTCCTAGTGATGAACATGCTGGAAGGCAGCAGGTGGTGGCTCAAAGTGTATGGCTCACTGCCACCCACGGGGTGGCCTGGACCGAGTTTCAGCCCAGCTATGGTTATTGTGGACCTTTGGAGAGTGACCAGTGAATACAAGGTCTCTATCTCTCCCTCTTTCAACGGAAGATGAAGATACATACATACATTTTTAAAAGGGATACTTGAATCCTGTCTGCACAGAAAACAAAGTTCCTGGACAAATAGCACAGGTTCTCAGTTTTTATCCACTCGATACATAACAGTTGCTCAGGGGACTTGGCAATCTCATTTAGGCTTCATGGCAGGCTGAAATGCAGTCTGCCGAGCGCGAACCCTAGCTAGGGTGCCCATCCTAGCTCCTCCACTGACCGGCTGTGAATTTTGGGAAAAGCCACTTACCCTCTCTTTCAGCCCCTGTACCTTTATCTTTAAAGCAGCCACAGCCGCATTCTGTGCCAAGTGAAGTGCTGTGCTCTGAATTAATTCCTTCCAACCCTCGCAATGGCTATAGGGGAAAACACCAGGCTCTCCAACTGAAAACTAACATAAGTGAAGCAGAAAAGGACTCGGTAGATTCTCACTTAGTAAGCATCAGAGCGGGCGCTGCCAGGCACCTACTATGGCTGGCCGAGTCTCTGGGTCACAGCTGGCCTTCAACAATTCCCATGGCGGGGTGATGGGGAGGAGGA